AATACATGTACTACACACAGACAGATATAGTTCGACGATACATGTACTATACACACAGACAGATATAGTTCCACGATACATGTACTGTACACACAGACAGATATAGTTCCACGATACATGTACTATGTTACTGTGACAAATTGCTATGTGATTATTCAAAGAAAGTTAACTGTTGTAAGCATGGTTATTTTGCATTACTTAAATAAGCAACAGGAAGGTGCTTTACGACACACACACATACATCAATACATCAGGAGGATTTTATATAGGCTTAAGTCCCTACTAGTCTACTTATAATTACCTCAGAGTCAAACACAACCAGGAAGCGTGCCAGTATGTCATTCATTCCCTGGGCGTAGCCAATGACAGGATGGAAGGCAGAGAAGGTGACAAGGATGTCTCGCAGCACGGTTAGGTGTGGGTTCCTCGCTCCCCTGTATTCAGAATTATATGATGTTCACGTCTGTGAAATCATTTTTTTTTATATGTATGATCAACAGAAAATGTATATGTCATCACCTTTCTGACTGATTTTCAACCCCCTTTTTAGGTCACCTGAGCTTTGCTCAAGTGACCTATTCCAATCACTTTCCGTCCGTCGTCGTGCGTCGGGCGTAAACTTTTTACACTATCAACTTCTTCTCAAGAACCAGTGGATGGAATTTTTTCAAACTTGGCAAGAATCATCCTTGGTAGATGAGGCTACCAAATTGTAAAATTGGGATTCCTACCCCAACCCTGGGGCCCAAAAGGGAAAATTGACCAATATTTCAAAAATCTTCTTCTCCAGACTCAGAGGTATTACAGTCATTTTCTCTGTATGGATCGAAAGATCATCAGGGGCTTTATTTAAATTGTAAATTTCAGGACCCCCGAGCTATCCGTTCTCCCTTGGGAAGGGGGTAAAGTTTACTATAGTTTATATAGGGAAACAACACTTTTGGGTATATTTTGACAATTTTCTGTTGGAAATTATTTTTACTCGGTGAGAATTATCCTTGGAGGAAGATGGTTTTAAATTGTAAAATTGGAATTCCTACCCCAACCCTAGGGGCCAGGGCGGGGCCCAAAAGGGAAAATTAGCCAATATTTCAAAAATCTTCTTTTCAGACTCAGAGGTATTACAGTCATTTTCTCTGCATGGATGGAAAGATAATCAGGGGCTTTATTTAAATTGTAAATTTCATGACCCCCGAGCTATCCATTCTCCCTTGGGAAGGGGGTAAAGTTTACTATAGTTTATATAGGGAAACAACACTTTTGGGTATATTTTGACAATTTTCTGTTGGAAATCATT